AAAAAAGACACAGAGGATTTTAAAATTTAAAGATATATGTTACATTAACTCTTTTAAAGGGGTCACAGGAGGACAAATTTACATTTTAAATACGTATGTTATATTAAAACCTTCCTTCAAAAAGACACAGAGGATTTTAAAATTTAAAGATATATGTTACATTAACTCCTTTAAAGGGGTCACAGGAGGACAAATTTAAATTTTAAATACATATGTTATATTAAAATCTTCCTTCAAGAAATCACAGAGGATTTTAAAATTTAAAGATATATGTTACATTAACTCCTTTAAAGGGGTCACAGGAGGACAAATTTAAATTTTAAATACATATGTTATATTAAAATCTTCCTTCAAGAAATCACAGAGGATTTTAAAATTTAAAGATATATGTTATATTAACTCCCTTTAAGGAGTCACAATGGGGAGGATTTAAAATCCTAAAACTACGAAGAGTTGATATAGAAAATTTATAATATTCGTAAGTTGGTATACTTAGGATGCCAAAATATAGATTATGAAACATATAGCACATATATAGTTCCGTTTGTTTTTGTTAATCACTTGCTTTAAAAGGTTTTTCAAATGGATAAAACAAAATTTATTTTTTAAAACGCTTCCAAACATACTGTAAAAACGTAATAATTCGAGTAAACATAAACTTGCCATATTTTTTCTTTATTTTGTATTAAGTAACAATTAGGTTTAATGTAAAGCATTAGGTAGTTTTTGAACTGCTTAGTGTTGTGATAATCAAAATACATCAGATATAGAAAATATTCGTTTTAAGTATTTTATACCGTTTTTATTTTATGCTGACTTAAACTAACACGATGTATTTAAAAAGAAAAACACATAATTGTAAAACAGTCAAATAAAAGATTATGGAAAATACATAATAAGGTCTGTCTACTTATTTGTCGCCCAAATTTATCTTATAAACTAACAAGTAATAAAAAAACATTTTGTAAATGTAAAATGATGTAAGGATGGCAGTGTCAAAAATAATGCAAACACGAATATAGGGACGATACAGTTGTACATAGATCATCCCTATATGACTTTCAATATTAAAATTTAATGTTACACTGTAAAATGCACGAGTACAAAATTGTTACGAGGTCGGTAAATTCGACCGACCTCGCAGCGACAGTTTGTAATAGTCTGTAATAATCAAGACATTAAAAAGATGCGCATTCACGTGAATAAGATACGTGATAATACCCAGGTGCACACCCTCAGGGTCTACTTAGTGTTTTGTAATATAAGGAACCACTTATTTTTCATATGGTTTTTCGCTTACTTGCCCAGGTGCCCATTCTCAAAGTCAACTCAACATGAGTGCAAAATTTCAGGTTTCTAGGTTCTTTTCTCATGGAGTTATGGTGGTCACATACAAACAGACACGCCCTTTTGTTATTATATATATATATAGATTAAGGTTTGCTTGTCAACAATAATGTTTCATGAAACCGAAAATATTAATACTGCAAATTTTATTTCATGGGAATATATTACCAGCATCGAAATGAAGTTCTTTGATTTTTTTTGTCGAAGAATTAAAGAGAGAGGGTTATAAATGAACATATCTGACACAAAAATGGCTTCTGATTAGTCAGTGTTTAATCATACAACTAATTTATTGGAATTGTGCAGTATTGCAAGGGGAGAGAGTACTATATAGATAATAAAGAAACATAAAGTTAAACCAGATTATGTATCGTTAGGATGCATTGGTAAATGCCATGATTATCTGGATGCTTCGGTAAATCTCAAGAATTTATAAATTTTTTAAGAAAGTTTTTAAACCAAGAGATAGTTTAAGCTCATTTTTGTAAACCGTGATTAGTAAAAATAAAAATGCAAAGTTATTTGCCATCAAATACTTAGATTTTGTTTAATTTTAGTAATCTAGCCTCATTAATTACATTTATAATCGGAAAAAAAAATGTTTATGCTTAACCAAGAAAGAGAACAAAGCTCAAAAATAATAATCTTCGCTAAAGTCCTGCAGCCTCTCCCCCACCAGCTCTGGTTACGTCTATGATTCATTACACATTTTTTCGACAGCTAAGTTTGTTGCTACCTTCAGATGTTTTCCTGACAAGTATTATTATAGAATAGAAAGCAGAAGACGTTATAGAGGATTACTGAAGTGTCGCATGTCCACAGGGTTCATATATGTTTCCTAAGATTATTTCCTGTTTCTTGTATTACTCCATTTTCTTTAGCAATACTTTATCTTCTATACTGGATAACTTGAAGTGTACGTCTCGACATTGTGGACCACGTTTATCTCCATAATTGAAAAGTTGTTTTAGTTTGGTTGTTTTTTGCCTGAGACAGCACTGACTTTTAAAAACATTTTGACGTTTTATGTATATTCCTTCCTGCTCCCCACTGGTTCAGCGCTAAGTCTTCAGGCTTACGACACTAAAAATCAGGTTTTGATACCCTTTGTGGGCAGAGCACAGATAGCCTATTGTGTAGCTTTACGCTTAACAACAACCAAGCGATATTCCCCGTTGACGAGAGCATCTAACCTCTAATCACACAAATAAGGAACTGTTGGGTATTTTTATAACATCACATTCCACCTTTAAGTATGTTTTTTCTGCTACACAGGCCTACAAACGCTTGAAATATTTCTTACCTCTAATCACCCAACTGAGGGACTGCTGGGTATTTTTTAAAGAATTACACTCAACCTTTAAGTGTGATTTCTATTAAACAGACCCGGAAGAGCCTGCGATTTTTCATAATTTCTTATATGAATGAAATTGTAAAAGCATTCGAGAGAAAAAAATATATAATAATTTCTTTGTTTTCTGCAGACGAAGTAATGAGATATGATAATCTATTTCAAAGAAAAACTCGTAACATGACGATTGGTTTTCAATTCATCCAGAAACGAAAGGCTAACGTAACATTAGTAGTTTTGAAGATAAAACTCCTGAAGTACAAATAATAGTAAAATGCTTCAACTCCTTCTATACATCTAATTTTAAAACTTACTCCATAAGTAAAATTTTCATCCTTTTCTCTTGGTACTTATGACAGCCCAGAGTTGTAACAATGGAATCGGAAAGCTCGTGTATGAAAAAGTCCCAGGTTACCAACTTGGCGGTGGTGGAAGCGGATTTGGAGGTGGTCGTTCGAGAAGCGAATTGGTGAGTTGTTTATTTCCATATCAATAATTTAACCTAATTTCTCACACTGTAAACCGCCGATAATCATCTCAATTCGATATGAGGAACTATATAGTGTATGAAAGCTAGCTGAGGGTACCCGTTAAGAAAGCAACATTGTATAAAGGACAATGTTAGATAATGTTCCCTCTTCTTGTTTCTTTTGTTATTACATCCCTAACGATCTCATTAGATGGTCATTGCACATCCTACTTTGTGGAAGGTAATAACTGACTCATTTAACTGATTAATTACTTGTGAATTCAAAGCCAAAAGTGTATATAAAAGTGGAAATATGCCCTATTTCATGGTGTTTTTATTTGTGTTTTCTGGCAAAAATCTTAAAATAAAGTAATTCATATATATCGTCAGACTGTTTCCAGTTATCTTTATAAAAAATCACTGTAATTGAGCCAGCCAACTGTGTATAAAACAAATGGAAATATGCCCTATTTCTCAATGCTTTTTGTTCCTCTTCTAGGACAAAAATCAAAAAACACAATAGTCCATATACTCCTTCAAACAGTTTCCAGTTGTCATATAAAAAATTATGGTAATCTAGCTAGCCAACGCTGGGTGGTGGGAGCTAACACACACATGTAATGGATCATCTTTATAGAAACAACATTTTACTAAATATTCATACGCTTTTGTTATTTCTTCATAAATTTATGTTTTATATTCATAGCAACATTACTTAACAAAATGCCCCCCCAATGGCACTGCGGTAAGTCTTAAGACATATAACGCTAAAAACCGGGTTTTGATACCCGTACTAGGCACACTACAAGTAGCCTATTTTGTAGTTTTTTGCTTAATAATAGATAAACAAACTTGACAAAATAATAAAGTATTTAGCTCAATGTATAGAACTATAATTCTTACAATATGATAATATTGCTTAGAAGGTTCATTAATACAGAAAAATACATTGAATCTCTAGTTAACTTCTATTTTTTTAAACAAGGAATAAAACATATTTTTATTGGATGTTACATCACGTAATATCATTGTACATACATTTCTGTTTGAGCATGATTACGTGTCCTAAGTACGTATTTGGTAGCATTGTTTTGATTCTATATAATGCAACATTTCACCACTAGGTGACGCGCAAAGACTTGCCGGTAAGAGTACTAGAAGAATGTATACGTCGTTGTCAAGAGGATCGGACGACCTCAATACAGGAATGTTTATCATTTGACTTCTTTCCTGGTAAACCTCTTTCTTCCTTTGTCCCAGGGGACAGGGCATTAGGTGACTCTTCTAGAAGGTTCAGAGATTCTGAATCAAGTAGCAACCAGAGGTTATCTGGTGGTAACTATAATAACGATAGAAAAACTGCAGGAGACGATTTTAACAACGGTGAAAATTATGAAGAATCTAAATGTTATTTATATCACGATCGTGCTTCACCAGATGGCGCTGGTACCTTAATCGTAGAGGGAGATGCGTGGCACTTCAATGAAGTATGTTTGTCATGTAAGTCATTCTGTTTACTTGTCTTTTACACCATTATTATTCTTTTTGTATAATTGGAAATATATTGAGGTAATTCTAACATTTAAGTCTCCTACTTTCATAATTTAAATGCTACACTTTTCGTACACCACAGTTTGTTTTATGGTTCCTCGAACTTTGTCTAAAGTTTTCTTAGCTTGAATATCCATTTCCACGTAATACAGTATTACAGTTACCATTTTATATTTGTTGTAAGTCTAATAAAATCAAACTTAGCGAAAATCTAAACAATTTATTTTAAAATTATATAAGCATTCAAGGCGAATTTTTTTGGCATTTCCAAATTCTCCGATAACAATGATATTTCAAAACTGTACCAATAACATGATGGCGATTTTTTCAAAATTTCAAAATACAGCAATAAAATTATTTCAGTTTTTCAAAATTGCAAAACACGCCAATAAAGTAACGATTTTTTCTTTTTAGAAAATCAAAGAAGTAAACCAACTTATGTTTAACTTCGGTGCTCACCCTCATGTATATTGTTACGTATCTGCTTGTTTGTTT